ACAGCAAACTGTTTAGAATGTTAGAGGCAAAAGCCAATCAAGTTGCATATGCAAACGACCTGTTCCGAGGCAAAGGCCAATGAGGCTGCATATGCAAATAACCTCTGTGTTCTGACTGGCTATGGGGGGGAGAGGAACAGCAAAATGTTTAGAATGTTGGAGGCAGGACTCAGGCAAAGCAGCCAGTGGATTGGGAGACCCTCTGAATGACAGATCAGAGAGCGAACTGATCTTGGAGCGTGTGGAATGTTCTAGAGAAGTGCCACCACCATTCGGCTTTTATTTATAAGGGAGATAGAATGAGGCCCGTTGTGGAAATAAATGCAAAGGTCTCTACAAAGAGGGTCTGGAGAGTATGCAGAAAGAGAGAGTTGGAGGGAGGGAGGGAGGGAGGGAGGGAGGGAGAAAGAGATCAATCCCAAGACCCTGGGGCCAAGGGAAACGGAACAGTCCAGAACAGGGCTTTTGTCCATGTGCCAAGGGTTTTTTCCACCCTTAGGCTGCGCTTCCCTCGTCTGGACCCCATTTTGGCTGGATTCGAGTGCAAAATTAAAAGAAAGAACTGGTTGGAGAGGGACTGGTTGCAAGTGAAGCAGCGGGTGCAGTTGGTCTGCCTGTGTGTCCTCCCCCCCCCCCCGGTCTGGTTTTTGGTGCTGGGAGAAAGATTCCCCCGCCCAGGCAGAGTTCGCAATGCTGCGTTTTTGGGGGGAGGGGGCTGCAGGTGTGGAAGGCCTGACCCAGATCCGAAGCAGGAGCGGCTCTCCCCTCTCTGGGGATTCTTTAGGAAAGAGGCAGAAGCGCAGGGCAGTGGGGAAGGACTTTGCAAGCAAGCCTCTGCAGGGGGAGCTGCGGGGGCTGTGTGGGGCAGAACGCGGACACATCCGGCCTTGGTGGGGAGACTGACAGGGCAAAGACCCTCCCCCCAGTCCATCTTTGGGCGGGTATGGGGGCACACCGGCTTCCCGGCGGAACTTACAGCGGGAGACATGGAGCCAAGAGCTGCTGGGCGCCCCGCAGAGCCGCTGGTGGAACTGGGCGGCGGTGGTAGTAGCAGCAATCTGGTTTGTTGGCCCTCCCCAGAGCCCGGGGCCGAGGGGAACGGGCCACCAGTGCCTGGGCAGGCAGCTCCGGCGGTGCCACCATGAGAGGGCTTGCCCTCCTCACCGGTCTCCCTCCAGAGCGTCTGTCCGGCGTGTTGGCTCCCAGCACACTGAGGGTGAGTCGCTGGGCACCACTTGTGTGGGCGGGAATGAGGCAATGCAGCCAATGGATAGAGAGCCCTTGTGATTGACACATATGACAGGCCCAATGTTCCCTCTAATCTGAGTTAGTGTGAGCTAGCTCACAGTCTTTTAGCCTCCGGCTCACACATTTTTGTCTCAACTCAGGAAGGAGGGCTCCAGAGCAAGCGAATTTATGCAGTAGCCAAATCGCTTGCTCACAACTTTAATGCCAGTTGCTCACAAAGCAGAATTTTTGCTCACAAGACTCCACCGCTTAGAGGGAGCACTGTTGACAGCCAACTGATTTTGGCATGCATCAAATGTTGCCATGCGAAAATACAATTATATAGAAGGAGAGATGAACCTTTGCAAGCCCTATAATGAACCAGATGTGCTAACAGTTTCCGAAGCCAAGGAACACTTGGTGAAATACTGTAGCTTATGGGTGTATCACCAGGAGGTGGTTAATTACCATTTTAGCCCAGGGTGATAACTTGGCTCCTTATTGTGACTTAAAAAAACACCCTTCCTTTTCCTGTAGTTAGCAATTCTGCCCTGTGCCCAACACAGCAGAATCTGCTTTTATTAACGTCATATATACCTTGCCTTTCTCTTTCAAAGGAACCCAAACATCATTCTCCTCTCCTCCATTTTACCCTTACAACAACCCCGTGAGGTAGGTTAGGCTGTATATGTATGTGACTGGCCCAAGGTCACCCAGCAAGCTTCCATGTCCCAGTGGAGTCCTCTGATGTATCCTAGGATACGTTCTACTCTCGGGTAGCTCATAAAAGTTAACGGCATTTTGACAAGGCAAGTTATTAGGCTGACTGATCTCAGAAGGCAAAAGAGTAAAACAGTACCCCAAAGATTAGTTTCTGAAAAGAGAAAGGCCCTGCAGGGATCATGCCTGCCCAGAAGCAAAGTCCTGAACAACCAGCCTCCTGGTACACTAGGAACCTGTAGGCAGGGAGTAGTTTCCTAATGTTCTGGGAGGTTTAGTGATGCCATCTGCATAGGATTTTTCTGCCTAAGTATTTCTGAGAAAATCAATATTTATTGCCAACTGGTGGTGGTAGAAAGTGCTGTCAAGTCAAAGCTAACTTATGGCAACCCCACAGGGTTTTCGATGCAAGAGACATTCAGAAGTGGTTTGCCATTGTCTGGCTCTGCATCGCAACCCTGGACTTCCTTGGTGGTCTCCCATCCAAATCCTAACCAGGGCCAACACTGCTTAGCTTCAGAGATCTGACAATATCGGGCTAGCCAGGCCCATCTAATTCAGAGCACAATATGAAATTAAACTCGGAAACAAATCTAAGTCATAGACTACGCTTAACTGGCTAGTTAAGTATTGTTTCATTATATCAAATACTAAAGTGCGTGGTTTGTGCTTATCACAAAAGCAACAAAACCAGGCCATCCATGGACAAGATAAGGCTCCCCACATAGGCAGAAAGATATGCCATTGGAAATTAACAACACACAAGACAACACTGCTTAGAATAGAATATGGACCCTGCTCATTGCCCTCCAAACGGGTTAAGAGAAGAGGGAGACAGTGAAACTATGCTATGCAAGACCATGAGGGGAGATTTGGGAGGAGTGATTCCTCCTGGTTCCCCAGGTTGTTTCTTCTACCGTAGTAGCAAGCTTCAGGGCGACAGGCCTGTAACAAAGGCAGCAAAAGAGACCTGCCACAAACAAGGTGGTTGGTTGTTTTTTTTTGGGGGGGGGGATATTCAGGCGACTGCCTAGTTATGCAGAAAAATATTTATTTCTAAATTAAGGAGGGGGGAGGGCAAACAGCCTGGGCTAGCATACCCTAGGATTCCATTGAAGCTTTTGAGCTGTGCCTATGTTATTCTGGAAATCGGGTTCCATTTTATCAGCTGCTGTTGAAACACTTGATTTATACCGGGGAGAGGGCGTTCTTCTTTCCACAGTGGGAGTCTTCTGCTGCAGTTACTTTTTGTTCGGAGGTCTATGGACACTATCTTTGTATGGAATTACAGAAGAGCCTATTGCTGGTTTTGAATATGTTTTTTTTGTAAACTATGTTTAATTGTTCTGAGCAATCTGTTGGATCAATGTCTATACACTCTATTGGGTTGTGACCACTAACCCTTCTTTGTATTTCAATGAATTTAATATATAGTTTTGAACATAGTTGTGAATTGCAGATGGTCTTCCCTTGGTGGGTGTTGTTTGTGGCTGTAACTATTTAGAGCTGGTTAAACAAATAGTGGGAGTGGGAGATGGGGAAACTGGCCTATTAAAATCCTCCAGAGAATATACTATCTTGGAGAGATGGCGGGTGGTAATGGAGGAGAATTTCCCAATCTTTCCTATTATGGAATAAGCCTGAGCCCAAAGGGAGTGTGAGCTATCTGCCTTCAAAAGCGACACATGAACCACAAAAATGAGCATGCAGCTCTTGTACAGGCAGCCCTGAGGTCTGTGTTACATGTTTCATGGCCTAGGCAAACACTGTTGCATTGTTCTGCAAGACAGTACAATTTTGTTTTTTAAAAAAGAAAAGCGAACACAAGGTTTATGTTGTTTCCACCAAACCGTATAAAAAAGACAGAGAAAGATAAACTCCTTGTGGCTTTGCGATTTTTTAAAAAGAGTTATACCAAAGGGAATTTTAGCCCCACAAGAAGTTATCCAAAAGCCTGGTTAATTTCCTTTACGCACACTTCTGAGCAATCAGGATTCTACAAGGATGCGAACTGTGTGTCCCACAAGGTACTAAAACTTATTCCCCCCGAGGCTCCCATCCATCTGCTTCGCGACCACAGCGATTCCCCCGCCCCTCCACGATAAAGACACGAAGTCGGCTGCGCGGGGGGGGGGGGGGGGGGGGGCAGAAAAAGTGGAGGAAAGCAAGCATGAGGAACAACAGACAAAAGCTGCCGATTCTGAGCATTTACTTCGGAATAAGCTCCCTTGGACCCCGCGGGGTTTATTCCCCGCTAACAACCGCCGGTGGAAGGAAGTCGCAGTCCCAGGCGGAGCGGTAAACTTTCCAGGCGAACAGCCCACACCCCCGGAAACGAGCGCCAAACGCGCGCGCGCACGCGGCTAGGAGGAGAAGAAAGATGCGACCGGGGGCGGGAAGGCGTGGACAGAGATGAGGTGACATCACCCTCAAGGGGCGGGGCGAAGGCGGAGGGGCGGGGCCGAGGCAGGGGCCTAGCGCGGCGTAGGCGGCACTTTCTGCCTGCCTGCCTGGCTGCCGTCTCGTCCCGGTCGTCGTCTCCGGTGCGGAGGGCGGAACAAAGGAGCAGAGTCAGTCCCAGCGAGGCGATGGTGGGCATCCCGGGAGCCTCCCAGTGTAAGAACCTGTCAGCTCCTCCGATCCCCTCTTAGACCCTCTGCCGAGGGGCCGCCGCGCTCCTCGCCGCATCCCCCCCCCCGGTCCTTTCCCAGCCTTTTTCGGTGCATGCCCGCTCGGAAGTTTACTCAGTTTGCAAAGCCTTGGGCTCAGTCGGGGTTGTTGCCCAGGAGCAGCCAGAGGATTTCGAGCCGGTCTAGCCTCTTATCCGTCCTGATTCTCTCTCTCTCTGCCTGCCCTCGTCCTTCTCCTCTTCCCACTCCCCTTCACTGTCACCGATTCTGTCTCGCCCATCTGCTCTCCCGGCCTGCCCTCTCTTCCTCCCTCCCTTCGGTTTGCACATTGCGCTCGTTTCCAGGTCCCGCCGGACTCCTCTGTCCCGGATCTTTCATCTGCCGCCGCCCTCTTCCCCCCGCTCATTCCCTTCTGTCTGCGGTCCCTTCACCGGATCCTCTCTTTTTCCTATCCTCCTCATACGCCTCTACTGGCGGGCTCTGTTTCAAGTCTGCGGTTCCCTCCTCCCCCTTCTCGCTACATCTGTCATCTTCTGCAAGCGGCTTCCTCTGGTCCTTGCAAATTCTCCCCACTCCCCTCCCCCCCCCCCCCCCCCCCCCCCCCCGGTATCCGTTATACACCGATTCCTTTCTCGTTTGATGCCTTGACCTCCCCGGGAGGATTCAGAAGCAGTGCCTTCCTGCAGGAGCCCCTTTCTTTCTGTTCCTCTATGTGTCTTTTGGGTAATTTGTATGTGTGTATTATGCCATGAGAGGAATAGGAGTTTGGGAAGCGTCTGTTTGGAACAGTGAGATTTCCCCCCCTAAAATAAGTATTTTTTCCATGGTGCCAGGCAAATCTGCTCCTCTTCTTTTCTTGGACCATTTCAGAATGCTTAAGGTTGTGCCTTAATAATACCCTCTCCCCTTTCAAAATAAAGTATTAATGTAATGTGTGTGTAGTATGCTTATATGAATTACCTTTGCAACTAACTAAGACATGAAATGGGGCAACTACTGGAGAGGACCACAGTAGAGGAAGGTGGATGCTGAGTCCCATTTTAGGAAACCTAGTTGTGCACTGTGATCATAAGAATTTCACATTATGGATTATCAGGAAAGGATGGATAGGGAAGGTGGCATGATATGGTAGGATCTCTCCCCATCTCAAAAGCTAAGCAGGGTTAGTACTTGGATGGGAGACCACCAAGGAAGAATCTGCAGAGGAAAGCCATTGCAAACCACCTCTGCTTCTCGCTTGCTTTGAAAACCCCTTGCTGCTGTCACCATAATTCGCTTGACACTTACTTTCATATAGTCATTCTCTAATGCAAGTCTCAGGAACAACCACATTTGGAATTCAGTTCCGGTTGCTGCATCTCAAGAGTAATATTGAAGGTCT